CCACGCGGATATCCAGTTGTCCCAGCACCATTTGAAAAGAGTGGTTTCTCTACTAAATAGCCTTGGCACCCTTGCTGAAATCAATTTCCTAAAAATGTATGGGTTAATTTCTAGACTCTCAATTCTATTTCCTTTCTCTGTATGTTTATCCTAATGCCACTACCATACTGTCCTGATGATTGAAGCTTTGTAATAAGCTTTGAAATTGGGATTTGAAAGTCTTCCAACTTTGTTTTTCTTTGAGATTTGTTTTAGCCATTCTGGTTCCCTTGCATGAATTTTAGGATCAGCTTGACAATTTCCGGGGGGAAAACCCCAAAACCTGCTGGGATTTTCACTGGGATTGCACTGAATACATAGACCAAGTTGGAGAGTATGGCTAATATTAATTCTTCCTAGCCATGAGTACAGAATGTCTTTCCTTTATTTAAATCTTTAATTGCTTTCAACAATCTTTTATAGTTTTCAGTATACAAATCTTATACAATTTTTTCACAAATCTTTCACAGTGCACAAATCTTTTACAATTCTTCTTTTGTTAAATTTATTAACTATTACTTTTTGGGGGGTTGTTATAAATTGAGTCATTTCATTAATTTAATTTTTAGATCATTCATTGCTAATGTATAGAAATACAATTGATTTTTATCGATTTCATATCCTGCCATATTGTTGGACTTGCTTAGTTCTGTTTTTTAGAGGATTCCTTAGGATTTTCTATATACAAGATCTCATGTCATCAACAAATAGAGATATTTTACTTCTTACTTTCTAATCTGGATACCTCTTATTTCTTTTTCTTGAGTGATTGCCCTGGCTAGAATATCAAGTACAATGTTACATAAACGTGCCAAAAGCAAAAGCAAACATGCTTGCCTTGTTCCTGATCTTAAGAGGAAAGCACTCCATCTTTCTCCATTAAGGAGAATGTTAGCTGTGAGCTTTTTGCAGATGCTCTTTATTGGCTTGAGAAACTTCCCTTTTATTGTTTGGTTTTTTGTTGTTGTTGTTGTTGTTGTTTTGTGTTTTTTGAAACAGAGTCTCACTCTGTTGTCCAGGCTGGAGTGCAGTGGTATGATCTCGGCTCACTGCAACCTCCACCTCCCAAGTTCAAACGATTCTCCTGCCTCTGCCTACCGAGTAGCTGGGATTACAGGCATGTGCAATCAGGCCCAGATAATTTTTATAATTTTAGTAGGGGCAGGGTTTTACCACGTTGGTCAGGCTGATCTTGAACTCCCAACCTCAAATGATCCACCTACCTTGGCCTCCCAAAGTGCTGGGATTGATTACAGGGGTAAGGCACCATGCCCCAGCCCCTTCTATGTTGAATGTCTTTTTTTTTTTTTTTTTGAGATAGGGTCTTACTTTGTTGCCCAGGATGGAGTGTAATGATGTGGCGACAGCTCACTGCAGCCTTGACCTCCCAGGTGGAAGCTATCCTCTCACCTACACCCCCTGAGTAGCTGAGACTACAGGTATATGCCATCATGTCTGGCTAATTTTTAAATTTTTTGTAGAGACAGGATCTCACTATATTGCCCAGGCTAGCTGAATGCTTCTGTCATGAAAGGGCATCAGATTTTGTCAAATGCTGTATTTCTCTACTGAGATGAACATGTAGCTTTTATCCTTTGTTCTTTTTTTTTTTTTGAGATGGAGTCTCACTCTGTTGCTCAGACTGGAATGCAGTGGCACCACTCAGCTCATTGAAACCTCCACCTTCTGAGTTCAAGCAAATCCTGTGCCTCAACCTCCCAAGTAGCTGGGATTACAGGTGCCCACCACCACACCTGGCTAATTTTTGTATTTTTTGTAGAAACAGTGTTTCATAACGTTGGCCAGGCTGATCTTGAACTCCTGACCTCAGGCGATCCACCTGCCTCAGCCTCCCAAAATGCTGAGATTATAGGCATGAGCCATCGCGCCTGGCCTCCTTTGTTCTATTGACACGGTGTATTACACTGATTTATTTTCAGATATTAAATCAATCATTCCTGAAATCAATTTCACTTGGTCATGGTATATAATCCTTTGTACACATTGCTGGATTTGGTTTGTTAGTATTTTGTTATGGGTTTTTATATCTGTATTCATAAGGGATACTGGTTTGTAGTTTTCTTGTGATATCTTTGGTATTGGTATCAGGACAATATTAGCCTCACAGAAGCTGAGAAGTATTCCCTCCTCTTCTATTTTTTGGAAGACTTTGTGAAGAACTGGTATTAATAGAAAATCCTTATTAAGGACTTTTTTAACATATCAAAAAATAGTAAAAATGGTATGAGTTGCTGTGTGTATTTCTGCCTAACTTCAATAATTATCAATAGTCTACCATTCTTATTTTACTTACACTTCACCTCCCTAACACTTTACTCTTTTGGGGGGACTGAAATTATTTTAAAGTAAATACCACACATATCATTTCACCTTTAAATACTTCAATGTATCTCTCTAACAGATAAAGACTTCTTTTTTTAACATAAGCAGAATTATTTCACCTAACAAAATTAGCAGTAATTCCTAATGTTATCTAATACCTAGTCCATGCTCAAATGTTTAGAATGTCTAACACCTGGTCCCCAAATGTTAAAAAATATTTTTTAAAAATTAGTTTGAATCAAGATCCAAACAAGGTCCAATACTGCATTTCAGTTGGCATGACTGTTTCCATAACAGCCTCCTTCTCCCTTTTCTCCCCATGCGATTAATTTATCCTATAAAATTTTTTCATATTCCAGTTTTGGCTGCTATATCCTCATGTGTCTGTTTAACTCATTCTTCTGTTCTTCACACTTTTAGACTGGGAGTTAGATCTAGATTGAGGTTGCCGTGAACTTACTATTGCATAATATTAGAAAACAGTGTCTGATTATGCTACTTTTAGCGTTAAAATTAATCAATGGGTTCAGGCCAGATCCACCTGTTATAAAGTCCCATATCAACCTTTACTTAATAGTTTTATCAACCATTTACAATTTGTGACTAGGTACATTATTTCAGCAGAAGTTGCAACATGGTGATTTTCTAATTCTTTCAGTTCTTCCAAGGCTAGGATTTTTACTTTCACAATTCTATATTCTAGGTCTATGATTCCCAAATAGGCTGACACAGCCTCCAGGTGCCATAGTGCAAGCCCTGTGGACATTTTTGTTTGTCATAGTAGTTGGAGGGCCTTATTGGCATTTACAGGTAGGGACCAAAGATGCTGGATGTTCTACAATTCATGGTAGAGTTTCACAAAATGAAGAATGACCTGCATCCCACACAATTTTCAAGTGTCTTGTTAGATATTCATGGAGGTGTAAAGCCTAAATAAATTACCTGAACCTAAGGCCATTTTATATATGAACACAAAATATTTTTTTTTCCCTACTACTTTAAAACAAGCACATTTTTCCAGGAATGTTACTATGGTTTACTTGAAGAAATAATATACAATCACTATTTTGTTTGCAATTCTCCTAATAGCTGTTTACCATTTCAAAAAAGTCATGTTAGTAATAGCAACAGAGTTTTGCATATTTGAGTTGTTGATATAATACATCTTTATACAACAGCTTTTGTCATTGTTGAATTCAAGATAATTCCACACACAGGTGTAAACATCTATGTTCTCCCATGTACTCAGGCACCTACACATGGAATACACATCATCATCTTATTACTCTCTTTTTCTAATTATGTTACAGTTAGGACTTCTTACTGATTTCCCCTGAAATGTGCATGAGGTAAGTTAGATTACCTACGAATTCCATTTCAATATAGTAAAGGATATTTCACAGAATATTTGTTTTGAAATGGGCATTGGGTCTGACAAAGCTGAGAATTACTATTTACTTCAAGTCTAAAATGTTTTCCCAACTTGGCTTCTGACCAGGGCTGCTTATTAAATCTCTCCATCATAGAAAGGTGGTTAGAGCACATCTGGTTACATCACAGCCAGAGCACTGTACAGAAGTGAGGACACCTAGACTATGACCTGGCTCTGGCTCTTTATTAGTGGCAGGTGTCCTTAGGCAGGTCATCTGATCTCTATTCCTTTGATAAAACAAGATAGATCAGACAAACCATTTCCAACCTTTTCAACCACTTTTTATTATTCTCCATTCTCTCCACAAGACTCAATATTTTTGGTAAAGATTTTGACAAAGAGATATGCCAATCATTAATTGTAATAATTAAACTGATTTCCAATTTTTAGCTAACTAAAGGCATGTTATTGCAAACCAGAATAAAATAATGATGGTAGTCTACATGTATTAAGTGCTTATTTATGTCCCTCACAGTAAACTCTGTCCCTTATCCCTACCAACAGTATGGTATCACAGTATAGGCTCCAAATCGGTAAGTGCTATCTCAGCTAGAGACTAGGGTCCCCTGGTCCTTGTATCCTCCCTCAGAGCAGAAGTCTCCAGTCATAACGGTGCCATCCTGGTCTGCAAAAACCTTGGATGTGACTCACTCACACCCCATGCTACTTTGGAAAACTCCTGAAGTTGATAGAGAGGTTGGAGGACTGAAATGAAATGACATGAGATAATGAAATGAAATGAAATGAAATGAGCAAGACACTGGGACTGCATCTCCTCTTGGCTAGTACCTCTGCATCTTTGCATTTTCTCAAAAAGACTGGCCCAGGGCCCTATCTAGACAAAGAGCTCTGGAATGAATTAGCTGTGAATTACCTGGGCAGTGACCCTAGACTACTGCACATTAGCCCCAGAGGCACTGATCCTTAGGTATACTCAGGGGCTCTGTGTGCCCTCTAGAAAGGAGTCAGGCAGCCTTAAAATGTTGGGTAATTAGGGTCACTAGTAGCAGTGCAAGAACTCATACTCCACTTATGTCTCTGCTTTCTAACTCCATGCACCCCAAGACATTGATCATTTTGTTGAAAACACACATGAGCCAGGGATGAGGTCAAGCGGCAGATAGGGATAGCTGGCTGGAATTCCTCTGCAGAAGCATAGGCTTCCCGCAGGGTGCTCTGTACTTACCAGGGAGGCTGCCGGCTGGTGTGTGGGTGATGTGGAGGAATCCGGAGTGGGTCCACCTCTCTGGCGGTAGCAGGGGGGAACTCTCGGTGGGGACTGCTTACACTAGCCTTCTCCCACTGCTCATGGATAGGTGTGATGATTCCAGACACAATACGAGACCGAAGCTCCTCACTGTTCTTGTAGGTCCTGCAAGAACAAGATGAAGAGTCAACTGCTTGCAGTTGGCTGGCAACCCTGGAAGTGGTATTCTGGCTGCAACGACGGCGGCGGCCACCCTGATAGCTCCTGGCGTTGCGCTTGGCCTGTTTACAAGTGGGGGAACAGGCCGCCCGGCGGACCTGGGTGAGGGGGGCAACAGCCCCACGCTGTCTCTGAGATTTGGGCCTAAGCTTCTTAGGCATCTGAGTTGCCCCTCCTCGTTTACCACCCCATTAGAAAGAGGTGAGGGTGTAGGGGCACAGGGCCTGAACTGGCTACTCCTCTGTCCTCACCTGCCTCACCCCTCCCTCAGCTTCATTGTGTGTTCATCATGTGTCATCGGAAGGGTCATGGAAGGCAAAGGCTCCATGGGGAGTATGAACCAAGTTCCTGGGCCAGGCAGGCAGAGCTCTGGGGGTTCAAGGTCCAGTTATGTCACTAACTCAGGGGTCCTAGGAAGGTTGCTCCTAACACCTGTCCCATCCTGCCTGGGCCTCTTTTTCTCTGCCTGTAAGAGACAAGTGACGTGAGCCACAGCTGAGGTGTGGAGGCAGGCTGAGGTAACAGAGTGGGCAGGACTCCAGGATTCCTAAAACACTGGTATTTTTAAATGAACCACATCCTGGCCCATAAAGCAAAGCTCACAAATGTAAAATCACGGAAATCATACAGTATGTTCTCCAACCATATGGTGGAATCATAACAGAAATCAAAACAAAAAGTTAACTCTCTAAATACACGGAAATTAAGCAACATACTTCTAGATGATCCTTGGATCAAAGTCCTAAAAAAGAAACAGAGCACTGAATTAAAATGAAAATAAAAACATATGAAAATATGTAGGATATAACTAAATCATTGCTGAGAGGAAACTTCATAGTACTAAATGCTTACATCAAAAAAGAGGAAGGAACTCAAATCAATAACCAAAATTCTGACCTCAAGAACCTAGAAAAAGAAGAGCAAATTAAACCCAAAGCAAGCAGAAGTAATAATGGTAAAAACAGAAGTCAATAAAATAGAAAAGAAAAACAATAGAAAAAATTAATGAAACAATAGGTTGATTCTTCAAAAAAAATGAATAAAATTGACCAACTTTTAGTAAGACTGACAAACATAAAAGGAGAGAAGACACAAGTCACCAGTAACAAGAATGAAACAGGGGATATTACAATAGATCTGTATCTGTAGCCACTGAAAGGACAACAGAATAATAAGAATGACTTAATCTAACAACTCAGAATAGACCAATTATTAAAAATCACAAACTACAACTCAGCCAAAATGAAACAGATAATCTGAATAATTTCATTAAAGAAACTGAATTACATTAACATTCCAAAAAAAAAAAAAAAAAAAAAAATCTCCAGGCTCAAATAATTTCAGTGGAGAATTCTACCAAACATTTAAAGAAGAATTAACATCAATTTTACAGTCACTTCTAGAAAATATGTGAGGAGGGAATAGTTTCCAGTTCATTTCATGAAACCAGTATTACTCTGGTATCCAAACCAGACAAAGACCATACCAAAAAAAAAAAAATAAAATAAAAATACAAACTATATCTTAGAACTTATGCACACAAAAAATTCTCAACAAAATATTAGCAAATTGAATTTAAAAATGTATAAAAAGAATTATATACCATGACCAAGTATGATTTGTTCTAGGCATACAAAGCTGGTTAATACTCACAAATCAATCAATGTAATCTACCATATCAATAAGCCATGGAAGAAAAATCATATGGTCATATCAATTGATACAGAAAAAAGCACCTGACAAAATCCCACATGATAAATCCATTTGAGATTTAAAACTCTCCACAGATTAAGAATAAAGGGGAACTTCTTTAACCTGATAAAGAAAAACCTACCCCTAACAATATACTTTATGGTAAAAGTCTGAATACTTTGCCCCTAAGATTGGGAACAAGGGAATAATGTTCTTTCTCATTACTCTTATTTAATATGGGACATTGTGACCACTGCAATAAAGGAAGAAAAAGAAAAGGCATACATATTAGCAAGTAAGTAATAAGACTGTCTCTGCTTGCAAATGACATGATAGTCTGCCCTGAAATTCCCAAGGAATCTACAAAAAAAAAAAAAAAAAAAAAAAAAAAAAAAAATCCTAGAACACCTTGAATTCAGCAAGGTGACAAGATACAAGTTCAACACAGGAATATCAACTGCATTTCTATATACTAACAATGCACATTTGAAAAAACAAAGGACAGAATGCCACTTATAATCATCTCCCTTTCTGCTTTAAACAAATAACAAAATATGTACAGGATCTATATGTTGAAAATTATAAATGACACTGATGGAAATCAAACATAAATCTTAATAAATGGAGAGATAAGATACACCATGTTCATAGCAAGAATGTCAATTCTCCCCAAACTAATCTATAGGTTTAATGCAACTCCTATCAAAATCCTAGCAAGGTTTTTCATGAATATAGACAAGCTCACTCTAAAGTTTATATGAAAAGGCACAGAAACTAGCATAGCTAAAATTATTTTGATGAAGAAAAAGTGGGAGGAATTATTCTACTCAATATTAAGGCCTACAATAATCAATACTGGTAGATTAATATTGACAGAGGAAGAGACATAGAGATCAATGGAAAAGAATAGAGAATCCAGAGATAGAACCACAGATGTACAGACAACTGATTTTTGACAAAGTTTCAAAAGTAATTCAATGAAGGAATAGCAAATGATGCTGGAGCAATTGGACATCCATGGGTAAAAAAATGAGTCTTGACCTAAATCCTACACAGATCATATTCCTACTAAGAACACAGAACCTTGGGGAGCCTGCTGCTTGCCTGCCCAGGCTGGGTAAATCCAACTCCTCTTTCCTTTAAATCAGATCAGAGGGAGACCTCTGATCTCCCTAGGCATGTGTAAAATTCAGGCCTGATTAAAAAAACCACCATGTCCTGAAGGAGAAGTTCTCACATAATTCCTAAGCCTTGGCAGAACAACCACCATTTTGGTTGTGGCAAAAGACGGCCTATCATCTCATCTCAAAGAAAGAGTTCAGCAGAATGGGGCACAATAGGTGTATCTTTCTTAGCCAATCAGTTTGCTCACTGAGGAGCACAAATTCCTAGAAGAGGCAAGACATGCCACGATGACCTAACAAAGAGGGCTAGGTGGAGGAAGCTATGGCTGAAAGGCACAGGAGGGAGAGAGGGCCTCTGATCAGGAGGCAGAGCCATACCTTAGCTTTCACTGCCTCAGTTTCCATGGAGATAGTTCCTGATCAGATTTTTTTTCTCCTTTGTGTATTTTACTAAGAGCTGGATTATGTGCTGACATCTCATTTCATTCTCAGAAAAACACTGAGGTAGTACTATTGTGTCCCTCATTTCATAGTAATCAAAAAACAAAACACAACACACATCCTCTCCCTCACACACAAATCTCTCAAACAAATGTACTTAAAAAACAAATAGAGACAGGATCACATTTATCTCTCAGTATTGCTGAGCAGAATGAATGCTCTAATGAGCATGAATGGCCAATATAATTCCTAGATTCTTCCATGGGTTTTGTCAATTTCTCTCCCAATGGAATTCCAGAGTGAAGAAGTCAAGAGACAACACTCTAAATGTTCCTCCCTTACCCACCGAGAGGGGCCAGGGTGTCAGGGTATGTGCAATACCCAGAGGAACAGCATTCTGCTGGCCAGGCCTGACTCATTTCCCCCTTTCCACCCTTTGTCTTCTGTATGCAAAAGAGACCCAAGCCCTGCCCTCAAGGAGATCACAGGCAAGGAGAGAAGACCAACTTTAAGGAGGTAATCATAAAATATACAGATTGATTAAATGCTTAAAAAATGATGTTTTGAGCCAGGGCAACACAGCAAGACCTCATCTATACAAAAAATAAAAACCTGTCTGGGCATGGTGGCACATGCCTGTAGATCCAAGTATTTGGGAGGCTCAGGTGGGAGGATCACTTGAGCCCAGCAGGCGGAAGCTGCAATGAGCTGACTGTGCCATTATACTCCAGCCTGCCTGGGCAACAGAGGGAAATCTGTCTCCAAAGAAAATGGTAAAATGTTTTGAAGCTTCAAGCATAGGGGCCAGAGGAAGCTTCTCTGAGGAACTGACATTCAAGCTGGTAACCAAAAGATAAATAGGAGTTGGCTACATGAGATTAGGGAGGACACTCTGCGCAGAGGAAAAAGGTCTGAAGAGGGCAGAAGAATGACACTGTGACTGAAGCACAGTGATGGGGGAAGGCAGTACTAGGTGAGATGGAAGAGGTGAGTGCTAGGCTTTCAGGCCTCATCAAGGATTGTGTTCTTTATCCTAGGAGCAGTGAACATTTCCTGAAGACTTTTAACTGTGATAAAATATGCATAAAATTTACCATCTTAACCATTTTTAAGTGTTCGGTAGTGTTAAGCACATTAACGCTGTTATGCAATCACCTACCATCCATCTCCAGATCTCTTTTCATTTTGCAAAACAAATTCTGTACCCATTAATCACTAACTCCCCTCCCCATTCCCCTCTTGCCCCAGTATCTGGCAACCACCATCTACTTTCTGTCTCTATAATTTGACTAATCTAGGTACTTCTTATAAAATCATACAGAATTTGTCCTTTTGTGAATGGCTGATTTCATTTAGCATAATGTCCTCAAGGTTCGTCCATGTTGTAGCATGGGCCAGAATTTCCTTCCTTTTAAAAGCTGAATATCTTGCTGCATTTACATAACATATTTTTTTATCCATTAATCTGTCAATGGACAGTTAGATTGCTTTCACCTTTTGGCTATTGTGAATAACGCATCTATGAACACAGGTGTACAAATATCTCTCGAAGACCTACTTTCAGTTCTTCTGGGGATATTCTCGGAAGTGGACATGCGGTATTATACAGTAATTTTTTTGAGAAATTGTTATATTGTTTTCCATAGTGGCTGCACCATTTTATATTCCCAATGTGCACAAGCGTTCCAATTTCTCCACATCCTTGCCAATGCTTGTTTATTTTCTGGTTATTTTGATAGTGCTCATTCTAATGGGTGTGAAGTGGTATCACTGAAGGGTTTTAAGCCAGAGTTGTAACTATGATCTGATCTATGTTTTAAAAAGATTAGTCCGACTGCTATGTGGGAAATGCACTGGAGAGTGGCAAGCAGGAGGGGAATATGTAAAAGATCTCCTCACATAGACGCTGCATGGAAGAGGGGAGGAGTAGCCAGAATATGGAGGCTGGTGGTTTCAAAGTCTGTGAGGACTGGAATAGGTTCAAAGAGGGTAGTGCTGATTAGATGCTATTATACGTAACAGGGTTTCTGGGTAGTTCTGAGGTTCGGTTAAGGTTTGATAACTGTGCATTTATAGTGATGTCAAGCTTACTCTAAAACCCTGAAGATGGCCGGGCGTGGTGGCTCATGCTAACACTTTGGCAGGATCACTTGAGTGGGTGGATCACTTGAGGTCAGGAGTTTGAGACCAACCTGGCCAACAGCAAAACCTCGTCTCTACTAGAAATGCAAAAACTAGCCAGAGGTGGTGGTGCATGCTTGTAATCTCAGCTACTCAGGAAGCTGAGGCAGGAGAATTGCTTGAATCTCCACACTGCACTCCAGCTTTGGTGACAGAGCTAGAGTCTGTCTCAAAAAAATAAAATTAAAAAATAAAACCCTGAGGAGGTCAATGAAGATGGGAGGAAAGTCCCTAAAATGGAATAAAGCAGACACAAATCAGCCTAACTACATATAAAACAGATAATTTCATTATACTGATTTAAAAAACAAGCACTAATCTAAGTGCCTGGAAGACAATCTTTAGTGGAACACAGTTCCATCCGCCTACATCTTTAGTGAAACATAGTTAAAAGACAAAAAGAACTGGAAAGAAATCATTTGGAACTTTACTTAGTAGATTTGTTCTTGGTAGGGACTAATGCAGCAGTTCAGAAAATATTGGTGTGTATTCTAGGATTACGTAAATGAGTAAATACATTGATGCTATTGGGAATCAGGGCTCTCACCACAGGAGAAGGGAGATATAAGTATGGAATAAGAGAAAAAGAATCCTGTAGTGTTATATTAAAAATGGAGGTGTCAGTTTAAACTCACAAGGTAAAGAAAAAAGTTTCCCAGCTATCTGCTGAAAAGGCCTAGGATCATACTACTCCATGCCAAATATATGACACTCTAGAAAAGGCAAAATTGTAGACAGTAAAAAGATCAGGGGTTGCCAGGAGTTAGGGAAAACGGAGTGGTGAATAGGAGGAGCACGGATTTTTAGGGTAGTCTAATTTCTGTGTGACATTATAATGGTAGATACACACTCTCATACATTTGTCAAAACCCACAGACTGCACAACATCAAGCTTAAGCCCTAATGTAGATGATAGACTTTGGGTGATAATGATGTGTCAATGTACACTCAGCAGTTGTAACAAATGTATCATTATGGGATACTGACACAGGGAAGCTGTGGGTATATGGGATCAGGAGGAAATACGGGAATGCTCTGCACTTTCTGCCCAATTTTGCTTGTACCTAAAATGGACCTAAGAAAATAATGTTTATTTTTTAAATTATTTTTTAGTTTTGAGATGGAGTCTTGCTCTGTCACCAGGCTGGAGTCCAGTGGAGTGATCTCAGCTCACTGCAACCTCTGCCTCCCGGGTTCAAGCGATTCTCCTGCCTCAGCCTCCTGAGTAGTTAGGACTACAGGTACAAGCCATCATACCTGGCTAATTTTCTGTATTTTAGTAGAGACAGGGTTTCACTAAGTTGGCCAGGATGGTCTTGATCTGACCTCATGAGCTGCCTGCTTCGGCCTCCCAATGTTCATTTTTTAAAAAAAGTTGGAGATTGGGGTTGGGGGCCTGATGAGGCACACTTCCTTCCAGGAGCTGCTCTGACTGAACTAGTTGGCCTGGGTCCATCTTTACTCTGCAGTTACCACAGCACTTGTAGACTCTTGATTCCATCATTTTATTTCATGTGGCATTTCCTATGTGAGTCTCCTCTTCAAATACATTAAAAACAGAAAAGAAAATTAAGAAGTTGTGCCTAGAAGTAAAAGGTTCTTCCGTTCACCTTCCTTAATTTTCTGGACACATCCACCCTATTCCTTATATCTTGCCATTGGTTCTTTCTTTTTTTCCCAGGGAAGAGACATCATTTAGAAGTAAGTACCTGTGGAAGTCACCTAGGTGTTCTGCATCGATATAATCATCCAACTTCAGGGTCAAGTCTGCCACTTGCTGTGAGCCATATTCCTAGATGAGTGAAAATAGAAAATGAGAGACTGGAATATTTCCAGGCTACGAGTGGGGGGGTGGAGGGAAAGTAACAAAGTCTTGAACCTAAAGAAATATTCACATGTCTACAGAGACATATATAAGGACTGTTTATATGAAATACCTTCCTAAGGCTTGGAGACATCTCTGATTTAGGAATATTGTCTTTCCAAGGCAGAGGCTACTTCTCAGGCTATTTTGCAAAAGGGCTCAGGCATGGCAATCGAGGTGTCGAGCTGATGCATCAACTTTGAGCTGCAAGTGAGCAACATGAAGAAGCAGACCCAGCAAGGGGCAGATATCTTGCTAATGAGGATTGCAGCAGAGACCAGGCGATCACATCAGCAGCTTAAGGTTGAACCAGGGCAGACAGAATCAGCCAGTACCTAATACTTGACAGTGGTTGTGGCAGCAGTGGTTCACGGGGCATGACTTGGGACACTGCCTCTGGAAATCCAGCCTTAAACCTGTTTTAATGAGCTATCCTGGTTCTTTTTGTTTTGTTTTGTTTTGAGACAGAGGCTTGCTCTATCACCCAGGATGGAGTTCAGTGGTGCAATCTCAGCTCAAAGCAACTTCTGCCTCCTGGATTCAAGAGATTCTCCTACCTCAGCCTCCCAAGTAGCTGGGATTACAGGCACCCACCACCATACCTGGCTAATTTTTTTGGTATTTTTAGTAGAGGCGGGGTTTCGCCATGTTGGCCAGGCTGGTCTCCAGTGATCCACCTGCCTTGGCCTCCCAAAGTGTTGGGATTACGGGCATGAGCCACTGCACCTGGGTGATCCTGGTTCTTGTAATAAACCGTTTTTGCTTAAACTAACCCAAGAGGTTTTTGTTGTTTGAAACCAAGAAGCCTATCTGACACAAGATCTAAATGTTCATCAAAAGGGAAAGGAATAAAGAAATTACGGTGCTATGGGATACTGCATAGTAGTTAAAACAAATAAGGTGTACCTATATGTAGTTCCATGTCAAGACCTCCAAATCATCGAGTGAAAAAAAGAAAAGTGCAGCATAATACACAGAGCGGGATACTTTTACATGGTCACACACAAACCACTAAGACAAGAGTTAACAAAAAGAAAGTCACTACCCTCGTGGTACTTACAGTCCCATGCAGAATAAAAGCAAAGCACAAATAAGTACACAATCACAAGCTGCAGTAAGTTTCAGGTAGGAAAATAAAATGATGGAGTAAAGAGTCATAATTTACATATTTTTTTTAGCAGGAGTGGGCAGTCAGGACTGAAATTCTTGAGGAAGTGAAAAATGAAAGAGAATTGTCCAGGTTGAAGGAATGGTGGAGGGCTGTGTGAGGGAGCAGGTGGTGGAGGGGAAGAGCCTTCCAGCACAGGAAATGTGAAGTGCAAGGGCTCCAAGGCAGCGAAGAACTCAACTTATTTAAGGAACTGAAGTAGCCCAATAGGGTTACCTAAGTTTTTTCCTTCCATCTTGTCACTGAATAGATTTACCTTATTTAATATTCCCCTGTTGACAGAAAGCTCCTCCTTCTTAATACCAGGTGGCAAACACCTTTGTGCACAAAGGTGTTCTATACTTAGGGTTCTCACCTTAAGATAAAGTTCCAGAAGTGGGATCACTGGGTAAAGGCTACATGAACATTGAAGCTCTGGATCTGTACTGTTAAATGGGTTTCAAAAGAGCCATTCCAATTCCCATCTCATCAGCACTCACGTCTCAGAGACTCACCAGCACATTGAGGATCATGCTGCTCTCCACGGTGACAGCTTTCACAAGGAGCTTCCTGGACCCATCCTTAGACTCATACCGGAGAACATACAGGTCCTTATTGTTGTTCCATCCAGCTGGCAGCAGTTCTGACTTCTTATCATTGGGACCCGGCTGAGAAGACACCACAGTTGGGAGGAGAAAGATCAAGACTTCAAAACACAGAGCTATAAAGAACCTCTTAAGATAAGCTAATTTTACCTTCTTGCTTCACAGATGAAAATGTGGAGGTCAAGAGAAATGACTTGCCCAAGATCCTACAGCAAGTGACAGGCCTAGGGTCTAGGTCTCTTGGTTCCTGTTCTACTGTTCTCTCCCTCATATCGAGCTACCTTTCTGACATAGCCCTGGAACCTGTCAAGAATCTGCAGCATTGGTTTAATAATCATCTCTTCCCCATCTCTCTGCTAAGAATAAAACCAGTCATCTCAAGGAGCACTGCGAAGTTGTAAGTAGTGTTTTTCAAAGTTTGGACCTTAGGCTAACTGCAATAGGATCACCAAAGTGTTGCCTAAAAACACAGATCCTAATACGCCCTGACTGACTGCAGTCATGTACAAAAATTATAAATAATTTCATAACACACAAAATATAGTACATGTAAAAGATAACAAAGAATTATAAAATAAAAAGTCACTACCACCAGCTTAAGAAATAGAACATCAGCAATACTGCTAAGCCTTGGGTAGTACACTCCAATAAATCTCCCTCCTTCCCCTTCAAGGGTAACCACCACTCTTAAAAACTTTCTTTACTTTTCCTTAGAGTTGTATTACTACACATGCAACGATAAAAATATATTATTTCAAATGTTTTTGAATTTTAAATTAACAGCATCACTTCTGTCATTTGCATTTTTTATTCAGTATTGTTTTTGGAAATTTATCCATGTCAATGCATTTAACTACAGCTGATTCACATTCACCGCTACACAGCATTCTGTATGACAATGCTGCAATTTATACATCTACTTGTTGATGGTGATTTGGAGTATTTCCAGTTTATTTGTTTTGCTATTATAAACAATGCTGCTATGAACATTCTTGTACACATCTGGTACACATTTTGAGCCAGGGCAACACAGCAAGACCTCATCTATACAAAAAATAAAAACCTGGGCATGGTGGCACATGCCTGTAGATCCAAGTATTTGGGAAGCTCAGGTGGGAGGATCACTTGAGCCCAGCAGGCGATTTGGAGAATCACTTGAGTCCAACAGGTGATTTCTATAGAGTATGCATGGAGGAAAAGCTTTTAATTTATAAGATAAAGTCAAATTGTTTTCTAAAGAGTTACTAATTTATACTCCCACTAACAATGTATGAGCTCCTGTTGCTCCGTGTAGTTGGCAACATTGCTATTGTTGCTTGCCAACCTAGTGGGGGTAAAATGCTTGCCATTTTCATGCTTGTTAGCCTGTGGGTGTAAAATGCATCTTTTATTGTGAGTTGCAATGTTTTCCTTTCATTTCTTTTTAAAAAATCCTAAGACTTTCTTTCACACTGAAGTTTGAGAAATAGTTCTGAAATTATTTCTACAGGAAAAATAGTGATTTCTAGGTGGGGAAGATTTCTTAAACAAGATCTATAAAAGAAAAAAAAAAATGCTGCCTTTGAGACTGTTCATAATTTAAAGCTTCTGTTCAACAGAGACACTATGAAGTTAACAGGCAGCCATAGGCTAGGAAGAGATATTTGCCATAGCTGTAAAGAAAATAAATTAATAATCTTTACATAAAGGGAATGCCTGGAAAATGAACAGTAACAATCGGAACTCCAAAAAGTGGCAAAAGATATGAACAAGAAAAACAGCAGCTAACAGTGTCTAAAGAGTTACTCAATTTTATTAGCTATCAGAGGAGCAGAACTGAAATAATGAGATACTAAGTTATAGAATTCTGTTATTACCAGTTTTCTATTTTTTGCCGGATGTCTGTATAGGTGTGGGGAGAATGGGAACCTCCAGTCCCCGCTGTTGAGCATTTAAATTTGTACAGCCCCTTTGGGGAGCAATCTGGAAGTTTTTAGTGCAATTAGGTGAGCCAATATCCTATGATCCAAAATCCTTGCTCCCGGAAGAAACCCTGTGCACAGGGTACGTAACAAAGGATCTTCATTACAGTCTTGGCTAGGGTAGTCAAAGTGGAGACAAAATGCAAAATGTGCTTACAGTGGAATATTATATAGCAGTCAGAAGGAACAAACCAGATTTAATTGTGGTATTACATATAAAATAAAAAATATGATTTAAGAAAAGTTCCCCCAAAATGAGGTTTATACTCCAGTACCATTTATGTAAAAATTTTAAAAAGCGCAATAAAAATGCTATAATCTTTGTTCATGGATGTATATTTGTATTGCTCACCATGGGACAGGTGGACTGGGAATATCTGTCGTTAGAATACAGCAGGAGGGAGCGGGACCAGAGATGAAGAAAACGGAAAAGACAAAGGTCTAGCAAAGCAAAACTTCACATACCCAGGACAAGGGGAGACCGTACATTGAGAACTGCTGGCCTCTCCTCTTTGGTCACCTCTGATGCTCAGAAATCCTTAGTGGAAAGAGATCCCAAATAATTCAGGATGTCACAACTGACATGGTTTAAAACCTGGCTGGATGACAATGAAATTCACAGGCCTGAAGCACAGAAATGAAAGTGAGGAAAAACCAAAGTGAAACTAATCAAACCATTCTTCTGAGAAAGAGAAACTATCCTCTCGCCCCAAACTGGGTAAATTTTCTGAATATGTTTAGGGTTTAGTGTTGTGGATTTGTTTACTTTGGAAGCCAGGAATTTGATGACAGCCTCATCTTTGCTCTGTCAAAGGCCTTTAAATTTATATTATCCTCCATGTACAGTATTCAATCCACCAGAGATCTCTCTTGGAATATAAACAATTTGGTGTGCTCACCACCCCATCACCTTTGGCTTTCAGAGTAACAGAGTCCCTGAAGTGAAGTGAGGCTGATATCTCTAACTGCAGTGGAACTGATATTCCCCAGTAAACATAGGACAGACCCTGGTGATATCAGGCCGAACATGGCATGCAACTGCCCCGTGAACCCTGACATCAAATATCAAGAGTCCCAGAAAGCCACAGCTGGAAAGTAGCCTAAATACACAGTCACATGGTTTAACTTCCTCTGATGGAAAATTGAAGGCCTGGGGCCGAGCATGGTGGCTCATGCCTGTAATCCCAGTACTTTGGGAGGCTGAGGCAGGCAGATCACTTCAGATTAGAAGTTCGAGACCAACCTGGCCAACATGGTGAAACCCTGTCTCTACTAAAAATACAAAAGAAATTAGCTGGGCGTGGTGGCGGGCACCTGTAATCCCACCTACTGGGGAGTCTGAGGCAGGAGAATCGCTCGAACCCAGGAGGCGGAGGTTGCAGTGAGCCAAGATCTCACCACTGTACTCTAGCCTGAGTGACAGTGAGACTCCATCTCAAAAAAAAAGAAAAGAAAAGTCTAAGGCCTGAAAGGGGCTGAGAGCTGCCCAAAGTCTCAGCAAGTCAGATGCAGGGCTGTGCCTAGAATTCAGAGCTCCTGGTCGCCTAGGCTATGGCTAGAGAAGACTTTTCCCAGCTAGGTCCACAAGACTGGCCCTACAAGAATTGTCTTCTTAGGGAAAATCCTGGCACTGGAAACATTCTTTAATGGCCATGAGTTTGCCCCAATGCCTCTCAGATAAAACACACACAGAGAAACTTAAACAGATCATTTTGGGCATTTGCTCTCTTTCATAACAGTCCTTAGATTTCCCACAACAGAAAACAAAATTCTCTAACTTACGTTGATGACCACCTAAGTTATCCCTTACCTATCCCCTTGCCACCTAAATCACCTGACAACGTTCTAAAGCTCTTACGAGGAGCAGTGCTAACTTCAAGAAAGAAATCCAAATTCAAATATTGGATTTTTGTTGAAGTCAGTGGCTGCATTGCTCTTCTAATGAAGTTTTATGTACACAATTCCCCTATAACAGAGGAGGCAAAACCTAAGAGAAAGTAGGCAATCTAGCTTTCCATTTAACTGTCAACTTGTATAGTCAAGTATATACTCTTGGGACCTTCCTTTCCCTCTTATCACCCACAGACGGGTGGGAACAGGAGGTGGCTGGAGAGGCAACACAAATATCCTCTGAGCTTGGAAAACACCATTGAGGCAGCTGAGTTGGCTGGCCCCAGGTGAAAAATTAAACTTCCTTTTAAATAAACTAACAGGAAAGATGCCTCTCTAGCTTCCACTCTGAATGAAAGTAGACTCAGCAGAAGTGACAGGAGGACAAGTGCAACCTGAGCCCCAATGGCAATCAAGGAGTAAAGGCAGAGAGAAGCAAAAATATACCACACTCTAGTTTGCAATCCAAACACCCATTCCTTTGGGGGTATGCAAGATTTAGTGCTGGGATAGATAGAGGAAAGGTGACAATTGCATACAAAAACCCCATTCCCCAGGCTCCTGGGTCTCCCCAAAGAAGTCTGAAGCCAGCCTCTTTCTCTGGCCTGCAGAAGCTCAACAAATAGCACCATGAACAGAGAAAAATTAGACGGACCTTTGGGAATTGGTCAAGGACCTTTGTTTTTTAAAAAACCAGTATTAAAATGAGATCGTATTCTTCCTGTATATTTCATCTGAAAATGTTAAAGCCTTGAGTGTATGGCAAGGGGATACGGCAAGCCTTGAGTATATGGCAAGCCAGCTAGAAAAAAGTATCAACTTATGTGAACTGATGTCCCTAAACTGTCAAAGTGACCCAGACAGGATGAGTGAGAGTAAGAATGGTGGGAGCAGATCCACAGTGATTGACATTTATTTGTGGAACAGCAAGAAGAGAAGGGCATCAGGCACACCCTCTCAGTCTTAGAACCAAATCCAGTTCTGAGTCTGTCAGAACCCTGTCCACCTCTGCTTGGAAAGACAAGGAACCTGTTTTGAGAACCAGAACTGGTTCCTTGTCTTTCCAAGCAGAGGTGGACAGGGTTCTGACAGTGTTGCAGAGTAGAAGTAGCTAGCAAGGAGTATGTAAGGGGTGTGAGGTACATGACAGGGGCCAGAGTGCAGAGCAGAGCTGTTCCATCTGAAGGGCAGGGCAATGGGCAGAGGGAGCTAAGGGTCAATGGAGGAGCTCCCAGGTCAAAATCAATCTTATTCCTCTTCTCAGCCCCGCTGTTCCCTGCACCATCCACATACCAGCTTATTTGAAGAATCTAGGAAAAGTTGAAATAAAATGACTGGGGCAAGTGAAGAGCTGCTAAAGATTAAAAAGCTGGAGTGAGGCAAGTGGGGAGACAGGATTTCTGTTAGGGGAACTATGCATTGAAAGAGGGGCTGCTGTCTTTACCTGGTTCCAAGGTCTGAAATGCTGAAAGGTAAAGTATGTGGAATGAAGAGAAGCACAGAAAAAGGCCAGGGACAAATGCATTTGGGAAGATGAAATGGTTCCTGCTTCCAGGTGTGTGTGTGTGTGTGTGAAAGGCTGGCTGTTCTTTTCCATCCTCATCTTCAGCCTTAGAGCCCGTTTGAGAGATGAAGTATGTGAGTGTGGAGGTGGGAATGGGGATCCTGAGTGTGTACCTGGGGTCCCAGCGAGATACATGAGGTCTGGGGAAAAAAAGAGCCAGAAATCCCTGACAGTTCTTATGCTCTGATTCTTGCTGAAGGGGGTAAAGTGTGAAAGGGGTATCGTGGTCTTGGTCTTTAGTTCTAAGAGACAGAGAGGAATAGGGACAGCAGTGAGGGATGGGGGAAAGGGCGATACCTGCCTGAGTGCTCAGAATGTACAAAGCAAGTTTGAAGAGCAATCCCTTAAGCTATGTCAGGAGAGAAGAATTAAGACTCTATTTGAGAAGCTGAAAAAATGATGAGAGAACTGAGGCAGTCAAAAAGGAGAGGAAGGGTAAAATCTCATTACAAGGTGCAATGGGTGGGGATGTCTGTTTCCCATGGCTGGTTTTGGTTCTGAGACTGAGAGAATAGTAACAGTGAGGGGCAGGCATGGAGGCAGGCCCTGGTCTCTCAGGGAGCAGATATCTAGGATGATGTGGATGTGGGGGATAAGGGTCACAGGGAAGAGACAGGAAGGACAGAAGAATGCTAGAGCAAAGAATTAGTGAGTTGGTTGGGCCTAGCAGCCCTGGAACTCTGTGGGAACAACAATGTCCCCAGTTATAAGAGGTAGAGCCTGGGGATGGGAGTGCAGGAGGGGCTGGCCCTGTGGAGGCAGCTATGGGGAGAAAATCTTATATGACCCTCACACCCAGGGTGTATGTGTGTACGACCCTGGGGGTGATTGTTTCCCAGAGCTTGAGTTGGGGATGGCAGTAGCAAGTGGACTACGCTGGGCCCTTCAGTAAAGGGTGAAGGGTGTGTGAGCGCTCTGGGCCCATACTAAGCGGCTCTGCCTTGGGGCTGAGTAGGTCAAAACTCACTCCTGTGGTTGGATCCAGATGTTGGCTGGAGCCTCATAACAGTGTGGTATGAGGGCGGTACTGAGTCAGTCCCCTCACCCCGAGGCTGGGTGGTAAGGAGTTGAGAGGGCATCAGGTGGGTGAGGAGTGCTCTAAGGAGCTAAACCCCTATCTCGATTATTTTCCATTCTATGGAACCCTTGGTACACACAGTCCTAACCTGAGCGGTTGCGAGGCTGTATTGAAACGAGTTTCTGCCCTTGAGTCTACAAAGCATGTTGTGCCAGCTGTGCTGTGAGGGACTCTGGGTTGGGATGAGGCAGTTGAGCACCTCCGACCCGCAGGTTTTACCAACGTTGTCATGAGCCCCAGGCCCCGCACTGGGTTAGGCGGGGAAATCGAGCGCTCTGGACCAGGCCTCCGGTCCTCTGAGTTTGGGCAGAAGACGGTTCCCTCCTCCACCCTGGCCGGCACCGTGGCGTACCTGGTCACCGACACCTAAGCCGTAGTAGCCGTGTGTCACCACTTCCCAATGCAAGAAGCAGATGAGCGCGTCCTGCTTGCAGGTGATGGCCGGCGCAGCCGTTTCGTACAGTACCTCCAGGCCCGCCATGATCGCCCGCGACTTCGGCGTCTGGAGGAAAGAAGGGGGCAGGGGTGGTGCAGTGAGCTGACTCGGCGGCCGTGGTAGCTATAACTCGGCTCCTCTCTTGGGCTGGTTCTGGGAGTATTTACACTCGAGACCAAAATGGAGACGCCCGGGGGCTGGGCGGGGCGGGGCTGCCGGAAGTAGCCCCAAGAACCGGCGCGTCTGCGTGAGGCGCGCCGGGCTGGCAACGCGAGCGCATCGCTGAAAGGTTCCGCCAGGGAGCGCGCGCGGGGCGCGGCGCCTCAAACGGGGAATCGACAGGCACTGCGGGCACGTCGTTCTCCAAGAGGCCACCTTGCTGTGAGCCAGACTTCCCATCCGCAAAATGGGGTAAGCTAGGCCAGGGAAGGGGCTGGGAAATATGGCCAAAATACGTTGTTAATAATTGTTAACACGTACGCAGTGCTTGCTACCGGCCACATTATTCTAAATGCTTTACTTGTATTCATGTGTTTAATCTACACAGCCCAACTCTATGCAGTTGATATCAACGATTAATGTGCATTATTGCACAGATGAGGAAACTGAGGCACCGAGGGCTAAGATGACACAGCCAACAGTGAATGGCTGGGATGGTTATGGGAACCTAGCAGTCTGGCTTCTAAGATAACATTTATTCAGTGTTTATTGTGTGCTACATGTTGTACCGAAACCTTTACATCACCTTCTCTTTTTTTTTTTTTTAAATCATCCAGCCCAAAATGTCAAATATCAACTTGTCAACAACTCTGTGAAGTGTGTACCATTATTATTATTATTTGAGACAGAGTCTCGCTCTGTCACCAGGCTGGTGTGGAGTGGTGCAATTTCGGCTCACTGCAACCTCCGCCTCCTGGGTTCAAGCGATTCTCCTGCCTCATCCTCCCGAGTAGCTGGGACTACAAGTGCACATGACCACGCCCAGCTAATTTTTTGTATTTTTAGTAGAGACGGGGTTTCACCATGTTAGTCAGGATAGTCTCCATCTCCTAACCTCCGGATCTACCCGCCTGGGCCTCCCAAAGTGCTGGAATTACAGGCAAGAGCCACTGGGCCCAGCCAGTGTGTACCATTACTATCCCCATTTTGCAGATGACAGTGGCTGTGTGTTGAAGCCACTTCTCCAAGAAGACACAACTGCTGCCTGCAGAGCAGAAGCTCCTGACCCACTACCAAATTTCAATCATTTATTTGCCTACCCCCTTTATGATTTTTACCACCCATTACTTCTTCAACAGGTTTCATGAAATCCGCTTACTGCTTTTACCCAAATGTTAGAAATAAGTTTTTGGTGTTGCAGAAGAAATAGCACTTAAACAAATTTTCTTAGCAGGCCAAATTTACTTCTATAGAAGGGTGCTTCTGGATGGAGCAATGGCGAGAGCACAGTGGGCAAGTGAGGGGAAGGGGGTCTCATCCCTGACACAGCTAGTCCCTACTGCTGTGTCTTTCCCCTGTTGGCTAGGATTGGACTGCACAGTCTAAGCTAATTCTGATTGGCTATTTTAAACACAGCAGGAGTATGTTCCGGAGTGGCGGGGTGAGTTGTTTCCCCAGGGAAGGATGGTTATAGAGCAGGTGACTAAGGATGACTAAGGACAAAGCAGGTGATAGAGGCTAGGAGGGGGTTGTTTACTGAAACCAGGAGCAAGGATGAAGGAGGAAGTTAAACTTTAAAATGGAGAGCAAAGAACAGGGAGACTGAACATACTGACATATTGGTTATTTGAAGAGGAATTTACTGTATCCTACACAAATTTAGTTTCCCCATCCCAGTCACTAAGCTGGTTCAAGCTTCTGCCATCTTTCACTTGGATTCCTGGCATCAGCCTTGGAACTGCCCTATTCTGTTTCTTTCTCCCTCTAGTCTGTACTGTACTCCACAACCAGAGAGATTCTGTTAGAAAACAAGTCAGATCAGCTGGGTGCTGGGGCTCACGCCTGTAATCCCAACACTTTGGGAGGCCAAGGCAGGCGGACCACTTGAGGTCATGTGTTTGAGAGCAGCCTGGCCAACATGATGAAATCCCGTTTCTACTAAAAATACAAAAATGAGCCAGTCATGGTGGTGAAAGCCTGTAGTCCCAGCTACTCAGGAGGCTGAAGCAGGAGAATCGCTTGAACTCAGGAGGTAGAGGTTACAGTGAGCCAAGATTGCACCACTGCACCCCAGCCTGGGTAACAGAGCAAGACTGTCTCAAAAAAAAAAGAGTAGATTAAGGAACAAAAGGTGTCCCAGTAAAAGGAAACAGTACGTGCAAAGGCATGGTGGAATGCAGCTAGCTCTGTGCGATCAGAAGATCAATGTTGCCTCCTGAGTGAGGCTTCCCTCATCTCTTTTGCCCATGATTAATTGCTCTTTCCTTGGTGTGCTTGGCATCAGTGGAGTGCCAAGGGGTGGGCATGGGACAGTGAGAGTTATCAGCCTCAGTCAGGTAGAGAATTTTATCATTGATATTGATTGAAATTGCTGGTTCATGATGATAGTAAAAAGTGGACTGGCTTTTGGTCTGTTTTATTACTGCTTTTAAGTTTTTTACAAGAATTGTACCCACTCCTTGTCTGCACCAGAGAAGACAGCTCCCTCACCCCCAGCCCTCAGTTCAACACTGCTGTGCATACAGCTGGTTGTAGCTGGCATCTCACAGAATGCTGGTTCCCTCTTCTACACCATCATCTCTCTCATAGCATGCGTTCCTCAGAAGCCCATGGTGAGACAGCGATTTGAGTGGTTTATTTGGGAGCTGATTCCAGGCAATAGCAGTGGGGCAGTGGAGGAGTAGGGAAGTTAGACAGGAAGGAAAGGCAGTCTGGGAGTGTGATGAAGCCAGTTACCTCTGTGGGCAACTGGACCGCACTCCTGCCTGGGAACTCTGGGGGGCAGTGTGGGGCATGTCTCAGAACTGCTCCACTTGAGGGCATCTGCCACATGCTGAGAGCTGCTTCTGGGGTCCTGAAAGGCCCTCTGGCAGAGAGTTGCATTATCTAGAGAAAGCAGTCTTTACTCTTAGAAGTGACTGCTAAAGGGTGACAAGGGTGTTGTAGTGCTCTCTGCTATGTCCTCCCACACCCCTGACCAAGGGTGAGCCATGCCTTAGAAAGTCTGTAACCCAGAAGCCAGCATGGAATAGGCACTGGCATAAGTGTGTTTAAAGAATGAGGTGAGGGCCGGGCGCAGTGGCTCATGCCTGTAATCCCAGCACTTTGGGAGGCTGAGGCAGGTGGATCATGAGGTCAGAAGTTCAAGACCAGCCCGGCCAAGAAGGTGAAACCCCACCTCTACTAAAAATACAAAAAAAAATTAGCCAGACATGGTGGTGTGCACGTGTAATCCAAGCTACTCAGGAGGCTGAGGCAGGAGAATTGCTTGAACCCGGGAGGCATAGGTTGCAGTGAGCCAATATCATGCCACTGCACTCCAGGCTGGGTGACAGAGTGAGACTCCCATCTCAAAAAAAAAAAAAAAAAAAAAATGAGGTGAGCTTTGTCTCCTACACTAGGCTGTGAATCCCCTGAAAGCCAGGACTATGTTCTACCTGCCCTGAACCCCAGCATCCTCCAGGGATGGGAACAAATGGGAGGACCTCCTGGGGCTGGAGTGTGTATGTGTGTGTGCGTTTCCCCTGATCCATTCAGCACTTTCTGTGGACTTACCTACATCAGTGAGAGTCCCATTTTGCTCTGTCAGGCCTAGGGAAGCAAGTGGCGGGTGCCTCCCTGGCTGGGCCCCCACTACGTAGGAAGAACAGAGCCCATGCCAGAGGTGAGGGCCCAGGATTATGGAAAGAACTTGGCTGGTGGCTGCAGCCACCAGTTCCTGGTTGCCAAGTGACAGCAATCTAGGTATTCCAAGTTCCCTGACTCCTTGGAAACCATGAAGAACTGAACCAGGGGGCAACGCCTAGATGGGCACTGAGGTGAAATCATTCACCACTGTAATTCTTTGGCCTGGCATCAGCCCAACCATATCACCTCCTCCAGGAAACCCTCCATGATTAATATTGTTCTTTGCTTCCACCAAGTGACTGATACCCAAGACTTCCCAACTTGCCATTCCCCTTGCTAGTGGGGTATCCAACATATTTGATACCTGTACCAGGTATCCCTTTTTAAAAAAAATTATAATTTTTATATAACTCTATTAATTTTTTAAAGTTTTTTTATTTGTGGTAAAATACACATAGCATAAAACTGATCATCTTAATCATTTTAGGTATACAGTTTAGTGATATTAACCATACTGTTTTCCACGGAGGCTGCACCATTTTATGTTCCCACCAATAGTGCACACGCTTTCTAATTTTTCCACCTTCACAGCAACACTTGTTATCTGTTTATTTATTTATTTATTTATTTTTAAATAGAGAATAGAGATGGGGTTTCGCCATGTCGCCAAGGCTGGTCTTAAACTCCTGAGCTCAAGCAATCTGCCCATCTCAACCTCTCTAAGTGCTGGTATTACAGGCATGAGCTACCATGCCCCACCAGTGGTATCTTCTTATAATTTTAATTTGCATTTCCCTAGTGGTTAGGGATGCTGAGCATTTTCTGATGTACTTATTGGCCATTTGTATGACTTAGGAGAACGTTTGTTCAAGTCCTTTGCCCATTTTTAAAGTGGACTGTTTCTTTTTTGTTGTTCAATTTTAGGTATTCTCTATATATTCTGGATATTATTCCCTTATCAGTTATACAATTTGTAAATATTTTCCCCCTTTCTTTGAATTGCCTTTTATTCTGTTGATAGGGTCTATTGATGCACAAAAGCTTTTAATTTTCATAAAGTCCAATTTGCCTGTTTTTTCTTTTGTTGCCTGTGCCTTTGATGTCATATCCAAGAAATTCCTGCCAAAGTTGTGAAGAGTTTGCACTACATTTTCTTCCAAGAGTTTTATATTTTTAGGTCTTACATTCAGGTCTTTGATTCATCTTGAGTTAATTTTTATGTGTGGTGTGAGGGAGAGGTCCAGCTTCATCCTTTTTATATGAATATCCACTTTTCTCAGCATCATTGTCTGAAAAAGCTGTTCTTTCCCTATTGGATGGTCTTGGGATCCTTGTGGAAAATCATTTGACCATACATGTGAAGGTTCATTTCTGGACTCTCTATTCTGTTCTGCTGGTCTATGTGTCTGTCTTTATGCCAGGACCGTGATGTTTTGATTATCTAGCTTTGTAGTAAGTTTTGAAATCAGGAAGTATGAGGCCTTCAGTGGAGCAGACAACTTTTTAACACCTTCCTTGTCATCTATAAAATTATTTTCAGCAAT